CGTTTGCGTCGAGGCCACCAAATTATATGATAAGAGTCTCAAGGCAACGCGTTTGGTTCTTCTACTGAACAGGATGAGCCCTTTGTTTATGCTGCCACTTCGATGACTATCAAACGGCGAGCAGCGCCGATGGCATTCGAGACTATGCTTGCCAATATGAGGGAGATCGAAGAGCTTACTCTGTGCTGCAATCAGCTCAGCCACGCTTTGTCGCTTCGCTTCTTCTCGAGTTGAGCAAGCAACAAAGACGCAGCAGTGCAACTATCTTATATCCCTGTCTTCTAACTTACATCTAAGTATGTAGTATAATACTTTAGTTTTTACTCTTTGTCTTATAGTACTACAGGGACGCAACGTAGATAAGCAACTTACAACTTCTAAAATGTACATGTATTTATCTAATTAGGTCCTTTTGAAAAAGAGAAGTATCGTTAACACAAGAACTTCGCTTCTCCTCGCTGGCGATCATTCGTCCGCAGCATCACGAACGGGGATCAGATGCCGTCTACCTTCAGCTCTCAACCGTCATACCGGCACCTGGAATACTGCTCACTACCTAGGCATCTCATGCACATGGCAGCGTTGGGGCCAATTCTGGATAACACCCCACAATACGTCGTTCTTCGAGCGGACGCGGAATCCATCCAGGTGACCTCAGAACTGAAGGATGTCGTGTAACTCAGTTCATTCAAATGCACTTAGTAGGAAAGAAAGGTAGGTCCGCTTGAAACATTGTCTATCTGGGACGTTGTAACAATATGGGGAAGCGGTCATTGCATGAACATACGCCTATGCCGACATCGACTGTCATCTCAGGATTCGCCGGAAAGAGACGTGTTACTTCGTTTTCTCGCAGCCAAGATATGAGACGCGGAGCATCTCGTCAGCCATCGACGTCTCGGTGGCATTACAACCGAAAGGTCCGCCCCACCAATGCGCAGCTGCAAGGTAGTCCTCCCAAATCACGATAGCGGGGTGCATCTTCGTCGCGAGAGCAAGTAATTCTCCCGCCAGCCCAGCCAACATGGTGCTGTGCCTTGCTGTGTACGTCCGACATCCCACGTCCTGGAGTAATTTCTGCAAGACATACATAAACCCTCCCGGCCGACACGATGGCCGAGAGCGCTCGAGATGCGATATTTAAAGAGGGCAATTCTGCCTTCCTTGATCAAATCACCCACCCCACGTTATTCATTCCCAGCATTCAAACTTCAAGTATCATTCAGGATGTCTTCAGGCAAGACCGTCACCCTTAGCTCTGGCTACAAGATCCCGTATGTTGTTCCAGCCTGTGCTTATGATGATTCGTTGTTCTGACGTCGCTTTAGTCAATTGGGATACGGTACATGGCAAGCCGCTCCAGGTGAGGTCGGCAACGGTGTCTACGAGGCACTAAAGATCGGATACCGTCACTTGGTAAGTCTCCGAGACCCTGAAGACCCTGGAACCGTTTACTCCATCTTTTGAACGACGATTGTGTTCAATTTCAACGGCTGACTCGATCAAATTAGGATCTTGCAAAGATGTATGTCCACCATCACAGCTCACACTCACAATCCCGTTTTCACCCATCTCACTTCGGGCTTGCTCCCACCTGACGTGGGACAATTTTTCGTCAGCGTTGGTGGAAGTCCAACTGCAATGCCCCTCAGTGGAGATGGAAGCTTAGGAAGCTATGACCATACCCCACTAGCATTCCTGAGAACACAAGCTGACGAGATATTCCACCAATCACAGCTACGAGAACCAAAAGGAAGTTGCGCAGGGCATCAAGCGCGCATACAAGGACATCCCAGGTCTGAAGCGTGAGGACATCTTCATCACGGGAAAACTGTGGAACTCTCAGCATGATCCTGCCACTGTAGAGGCAGCTCTCGATGACACTCTCGCTGAACTTGAGCTGGAGTATCTCGACCTGTACCTCATTCACTGGCCTGTCAACTTCGGGCCTGGAAAGAACCCTCACTCGGATCTGTTCCCCATGACTTCTGACCCCAATGAGGTTAACATCGACAACTCCGTCCCTAACAGCGAGACATGGAAGGCCATGAACAAGCTGCCAAAGAGCAAAGTCCGCTCGGTCGGCGTCTCCAACTTCACATACCAAACCTTGAAGGCTTTGGTTGAGAAGACTGGCCTCGTGCCTGCCGTCAACCAAATCGAGCGTCACCCCATCCTCCCCAGCAAGGAGCTCGTCGCTTACGCCAAGGAGAAGAACATCCACATCACCGCGTACTCCGCCTTTGGCAACAACTTCTTCGACATCCCATTGCTCATCCACCGCCCTGAGATCAAAGCAATTGCGGAGAAGAAGGGCGCCACACCCGCACAGGTCATCCTGGCATGGTCTCAAGTCGGCGGCCACTCTGTCATTCCCAAGTCTGTTACTCCGTCGCGCATTGCTGAGAACTTCAAGGAGATCGAGCTGGACGACGAAGACATCAAGGCTATTACCAAATTCTCGGATGAGCACCAGGGAAGGAGAAGGTACAATGTTCCCTACACGGCGAACAAGCCTAGATGGAGCATCAACATCTTTGATGAGCCAGAGGAGCAGGAAGCGCCCAACAAGGTCGTCTTGTAGATAGCTTGAGCCTGCACATAAGCCGCAATACCATCAATGTTTACTTGAGCTTCTCGAACAACTGCGCGTTTGGGGGAGTGTGATTGTTGCAAGTGACTTACTGCGTAAAGCCAGATTATGTATTTGATCTTTGAGGAGTTGAGTATTACAACGCCAATTCGTTAGAGGCTCCTGGGTAAGGAGGTTGAGGTGCGACGCGTAGATTTGGAAGACTGAGCCGGCACGCGAGCTAACATCTTTTCGGTTAGGTCAAATCGCGTACCTGCGTCATCCATGGATATACGTCGCGTCGCGTTACTCCGCTGCCCACGGCTTCAATAATGCTATATCCTCTCTGTGTTTTGTCACACACGATACCTCCTCTGTCTTCCTCGCCCAGGCCTTGCAGCCATCGTTAAACCGATCATGCTGTTCAGCGCTCTTCACGACGCCAGCAACGCGAACAACGTATCTTCATCGAGGACTCTGGCTCGTCTGGTATCTTGAGGAAGAAGGATTTATTTTGTCATCAGTCAAGGAGCTGAAGGAGCGTAGCCACATCAGTGGCCAGCCTACATAGTCGCTCCATGTGCCACTGGAATCTCGACACCTACCACACCACCTGGCTCAATGCCAACAGGACCTCTACATGCCATCGTTGATCTGCACTCCACCAGGTAAGCTCTTCAACCCTGCTCAGTAAGTTAGCATCGTGCCTTGAGTGTCTAGTATTGCGCTTACAAGTCTCAGACCCGTCGACATCCTCAACCACCGTCTGCGGAATACTGCACTTCATCGCGTCTTCGTCGCTCTGCCTAGCCAACTCGCTACATTGATCGTTACTGCACCGTGCGTCCAGCGCTCGTTGCAGCGCATCGCCCTTCCAACCGAACATATAATCACCATGGTTACCATGGCCGGTCCTACAATCAGTCGTTAGCATGATTACGGTCCTTCACGCGTTCCAACGGGAAGAGGGGGTCTCACGCATCGCCCATACTGAACACAAATGGCTGTGTCCCCTCCTCGCCCCACAGCTCAGGAGTATTGAATGGGGTCGTGTCGAACATGACCTCATACATGATTTGCGGAAGCTGCACGGGATAGCCCTCTGGACACTTGCCCCTCTGCTGCTCGGGTGTATACGGAAATGTAGCCATGGGCGGGAAGTATGGCTCATACGGGATCTCTGCATATGCGACGTGGCTCTGGTGATCTGGCGAGTCGAGGTTGACGCCGTCCCAGCATGTAGGGAAGGTGACTTGGGTACGAATGCCACCTTCGCACATGCGGTTGGGGAGGAATGTTGTATCTTCTCCTGTACACGGAGCGCCACCAAAGGGCTGTGAGTCCTTGTAAATGCAGCGATGGCAGATACCGCGGGACTCGCCAGTGGTATTGCGAAGGATTGGGTTACCAGCGAGCATGCGAAAACCCTAATGAGAAGTCAGCAACACCGCTCATTGGAAGGAAAGCGAAGTCTCTCGCCCTCAAGAGTGGAGGACGGACGGGTCTGAACGCAGTCACGTTGCTGAAGCCATCATATGGAGGTATGTAGTACACTGTCATACCGCCTCTCTGATTTAGCCCAAGATTGGGGAACTGTTGGACACGTTTGTAGGTGCCATTTTGAGAGGCGCGGTAGTACAACGCTGCAGTCCAGTAGTTGCTAAGTTCCGTCAGCTATGACTCCGCTACAGCTAGGCGCCTCATGGCATACCTGAAGTCTTCGCTGAAAGTACACGTAGTACAAGTACTCTTCTCGACCAGATCATACTCCACAGGCTTCATTTCAGCCTGAAAGCTGTTCCCTCCGACGATTTGGTGCGTATGCGGACTTCCAACGACTCCAGGGTTGACCAAGGGGTCTAGCCGCTCGACGGTGAGTTGAGAACATGCGAAGCGCATCATCGCAGCGCCGCGACTGACATTTTGACCTAGCGCCGCACTGATGAGCGTGGCCGCTACGAGGATCGAGTTCTTCATGATGATTAGACGGCGGAGCAGATTTCTTTTGCAGACCAGTCAACAGGATGACCGTCGTTCAGACCAGATGAATATCTATGGAGAGACCTGTGCAGTCATCTATGTGGGGCGCACAAGTGCCGGGACCCAAGCAGTCTCGTCCAAGACAACTCCCTTCTAAAGGTTCCAGTACAGTGGATTCTGGGACGTTGGGCCATTCGAGGGAGTGGTGTACAGTGCACTCGCATATTGAGCGACCAGGGTCTACCCAATCATGCATCTACCGCACGATAACATCACAGGCTTCTGATAGTCCAACTAGTGACGAGGCACTCAACTACAGTCAATGTTGTATTCATCTCCTACTGGCACAGAGCAACATTCCGTTCCATTGGTTTGGACAAGCTGACACTGATTTGGGTTACCATTATGTCGAGCAATACAGGATATTGACGAAATGGCAGGCGAGACATCAATTAAGGATGTCAAAAACGCTCAACTTGTTCATCCGATCCACAAAAGGCTCTTTCCAATGACGAGTGTCGTCTTCATAAGGTCGAAACCGCTGAACCTCAATCCGCGGGATCGTCCCTCCTTCTTCAACCCAGAGCCACCTCCGATACTCCCTGAGCTCCTGGGGCCAAAAATCGCAAGGGTCCATGTCCGCATTCCAGTCATTAGGAGGGTACCAACGCGGGTCTTCAATCTCAAAGAAGACTTCTGTCACCTTGAAAATTATCTTCCCATGCTCGTCCTTGCCAGCGGGTATCTTGGTCTCGCGGTACTTGGTCGCCCCCGCGGGGACTTCGCGCCTGATGACCTTCCCCCATGGCTCGTCGTAGACATCTGGCTCTCCAACCGGATGTGTCCAATCCTGGTTCTGATAACCTGGATGGCAAGGGTATCGGCCATGGGCATCGATGGTATCCAGCTCATAATAGATCGGCTCCAGGTGCCACTTCCTGCGGCGAGCATCAGGAACTAGAGGGCCTTCAACGAACGTGGCGATGGAGCGTATGCGCAGCCAGTCCCACTCCGATTTGTCCTCTACTAGACGCTCAAAGCGGAAGATGACCCCGGCATAGCTAGCGCGATCCTCGATCTCCAGATCCACAGTACCGAAGCGAACTTTGATGATCCTGGGTTCGTCAGTCTCCTCGGGAATGAGTTTGGAGGACTCAGGTTTGGCGCGGAAACACTCAGACTTAGAGTTCCCATGGTCGTGGTATCGGGCGCAGAAATCTTGGAGATTTCCCTCGCCCCGTCTGAACCTCTGGACAATGTCGCAAGGCCCGGCCATCATTAAGAGAATGGTGTGGAAGCACCAGTCTATCACGAAATCCCTGTTCAGATGACGCTTTTGCTTTTCCACTTTAGCTCGTAACAGCTCAACTTGGTCAAACAATGACTCGAGCACTACCATACGGATCTTATCATTGGCCTTGGTGTGCTCCCAAAGTAAGTTGACGTCGTCAATTCTGAAGCTCATGAACTGGATGGTGTTGTCGCAATCCTGCATGGTAACTTTCCCCTCTTCATGCTCTTTGACAAGCTCGATTTCTTGCTTGAAAGACAAGACAATTTCGTCAAGGATCATATCGCAGACCTCCGTAGTCCCCATCGCTTGGGAGAGCCGGTATGTCTCGAACAAATCGCTCATCGCGATGGACGGTGTGCCGTTATCGCGGTGAATGAAGCTTGTGTCATCGTATGGCTCAAGGCGGTATATGCGTCTCGGGAAAGTGTGACGACGACCTAGAAAAGCCGAAGTGTACCACCGATCGAAATTATCGAGAGAGTACTCAAGAAAGTGTTGGTCGTTGATCGGCAGCCGGTCCATGACCTCTTGCGGTACGAAGCGATTGACGCCACCATCTTGTCCAGGCGGAAAGATCACAAGCTGAACAGCCTCACCGTCGTAGAACAATGGGTTGGTGATAGGTTCTTTGCTCAGAACCGGAGACGCTTCGCTTGTGTCTGGAAGGAAGTTCTTCAGCTCTGCGTACAAGGGGATGTCATACTCGGCAAGCCCAAGGGGGCTCGTGGCGAAGTAAACTCCCGTGAGCTCAAAGACTGCCTTATTGGCTGACGCGAAGCGCTTACGTACGCCCTCTGCACTGACATTGCCCAGCTCTGCCATCTTGTCCCAAGCGACTGGCTCCTGTTGCCATGGCCTACGTAGCTCATAGGCCTTTTCGCATCTTTTGGAAACTTTGGAATCGATGACGACTTTACTCCAATCGACTGGACAACTGGATTGGTCGTGATAGGGGAGTGTCGGCGCTGGGAAATCGTAGTCCCAAGGTGTAATCGCCGGGCGAGGTGGTGGATTGAAGACTGTGTTTGTCAGCTGGAAACGCCCATGGCAAAGACGAGATAGGCTCTTACCTGTCGCTCTAGCGCGCAGTTGTTGTGCAACTGCGTCGTCGTCTTCTTCCTCTACATCATTTTCCTCTTCCTCTGAAGCATAATGCTCTTCCTCGAAGGCAGAAGCCTCTTCCTCTGAAGCAGTGTCGTCTTCTGTCTCCATGATGTACACGTCTTCAGCACCTGACACAGCGCTGTTGTGAACCTTGGTCTTCGCAGCCCTCAACTCTGTCGACATTGTCATCGAGCTTTGTGTAGGCGTATCGTTTGTTGCGACATGCACTGCGCCAGTGGCTGATACACGACTAGAGGCTATAGTGCGACTCGTGGTGCTCGCGGCAGGACCTGGAGCTACATTGCGCTTCGCATGGGTGGTCTTCAGGCGCTTTGCTGGCGTCTTCTGATCGTCTGTGTGCCCGTTCGGAAGGAGATGGTCGCGAGTAGGAGCTGTCAAGGATGGATCGCTGCGCTGCGCCATATCAGAGCCGCTCTTGGAGATCGGGTTCGCTTCTTCGGCCTTGCGCTTCTTGCTAGGTGACGGCGCCATTACTGAAGCGGGATTCATAGGCGCTGTCGATCGGGCTTGAAGCGCAGTGGGGATGGTAGGCATGTTGATGTCAACGTTGCCGGAAGTCAAGAAAGTATTCCCGCGAGTGTGATACACGGTATGCAAGCCAAGGTGGAATCAGGTGTAGTATAGGGAGATGGACCCGTCATTTATATGCGGAAGGGGAGTGCCCGTTATCCAGGCCCCAGCGAAGAGCACATGGTCGCTGCACTGACCTCGTCAGCGGTCTTCTGGGGCAAACTGGTGGCATCTGCCCGATATAGGAGTGAAAGCATTTGTGAATAGTGGTGAATGCTAAGATTGACATGTGATGGATGATATAGCGCAATATCAGACGAGCGATGGGGAGCGGTGCATAGTGACAAGCAAATGAATGCGTGTATTCGCCAATACATATCGAGCTGCTAATCTATACCAAACATATGCAGCAACAGACTACTGTAGCATGCCTTCCAAACTCTCTCCCAAAATCTCCTCCATACCATTCTTCCACCTCTGGCACTCCCTCTCGACCATCTCATCGTCATCTTCCATGAGCTCACTGATGAACGGCAGCATCTCAGGAAGTAGACCCAGCCACTCTTCTCCTAATCTCCTCGTCAAGCTCTGCTCACACAGCACTGTCGCTAACCTAGTGTTCCTGTCGTCGCTCCTCATGTTCTTCAGCAATATGCTGTTCATCTCGCGATGGTTCTCCATGGATGATGCAGATGCAACAGCAAGTTCGGTGATGGTAGGAATGACGTTGTTGGTGTTGTCCTCTGGTGTAGATGTCGATGCAGATGGTAGGCTGAGCAAGGACAGCAGGGGTGGCATAATGGTGCCAAAGTGAGATGGCGCTTGCCAGAAGCCGTCTTGATCGTGTTGGAATGTCTTCTGGAGAGCGTCAAGCACAGCCCTGCGTGTGGTAACATCAGAGTCTTCTTTAGCAAGTTTAGTCAGCAGCTTCGCGGCATGCTCGATGATGTAGCTCGAATAGCTTGTTACAAGAGACTAGTTGTGTGTTAGTGATATTTTGATGGGGAATGAAAGAGCAAGACGTACCTTGAACTTGTCGAAGAAGGCGCCGAGGAACTTGTAGAAGGTGACAGCCTGTTGAGGCTTGCTCGACAGTGGGCCCTCCTGGTCCACAAGCTGAACAAAGAACGGTCGGAATGTAGCATCGCTGAGCTTCAGTACCATAGAGATGACGGAATCAATAAGCGTAAGCTCCAGCTGCTCCAGCTCCTCCTCATCAACTTCGACGGTAGTAGATTGGACCGTCTCACGTAGTCGGAAAGTTTGCAGAAGTAGAGTGAAGAGGGGCGGACTGGCTTTGACAAGCTTAGCCTTGGTCTGATTGTTGACAGTCGCGCGCAAAAGCTCAAGCTGCTCAAGTGACGCATCGAAGCCTTGAGAGGCGGCATGTGGCCACGTTGACTTGATAGCAGCGAACACTTCCTGAGCACCGAGATGCTCAGATACACTCTGGAAGAAACTGCTGCGGCTTTCGTCGCAGGACTGTTGCAGATCGGCAGCGGCAGAGCGTTGGCATAGTCGAAGAGCGGTGTCCAAGTAGTCGCGCGAGAACATGTAGCCCAAGCGCTCGACAATGTTCGAAAGCACGGTAAACACAGCGTTGTGAAGACCAGTCTTTTCCTCTTCGATCGCATCCGATAGATATTGGAATGCTGTTGGCAACACGGTAGGGAGGAGCGAGATGGCCTCATCTTCGAGAACGTCAACGACAGATGTGAGGCAGAGGAGGGAGAGGATGCGAAGGCGATCATCGCTGCTGGAAAGCGATTGGGGACCGGACACAACTTGAGCTACTGATACAACAGCAGATACGTCCTTCTTCCCGAAGCGGTCGACGATGCGATCGATGCAGCTGACAGAGACCATCTTGGCATCCATGTCAGGAGATTGTTCCAGTAGATCCTGAACACTAGGCAAGAAAGAGATCAGGGCCTCTACAGATTTGCGGTCGTTCTGCTTGGCGGTGCCCGCGCGCAGCTCGACCGACTTGACGGCAGCTACCTGGACGTGAGAGTCTGTGCTCGCAAGAAGTAGCTGTGCTGATTTGATAAGGTCGGTCGTTGGCAGGAGGTCTAGGCAGCTGGCGAGAACACGACTACATCCGGCGTAGGTCTTGGGGTTTGTTGCAAGCTTCTTTGACAGTTGAATAGTAGTCTCGACGATGTTTGCAAAGATCTTGCGTGGTCGTTCAGGGTCATCCTTCTTTCTGTACGCTCGAGTAACGTGTGCTTTCACCTTATCGTCAAGCGCGAGATCTGTCAAACACGACAGCATACTCTGAATTGACAGGTCGAATTTGTTGTCTTTTGTCTTTTCCTTGAGACTGAAAAGTGTTTCCGCGACCTGGGGTTTCGGTCCCACGGCATCAGTGAGGAGATCGACATATCCCTTGAAGGTGACGAGGGTGTGGACAGGTTCGAAGTGAAGTAGCAAGTCCGCACAGAACCTTCGTTGCTCCTTGCTGTGGTAGCGATCGGCAAGAAGTGCCACGATAGCCGGGAGCGAATCCTCGGGGCCTAGCGTACGAGCAAGCTCTGTGAATAGCTTCATCCTTCTATGCAGGGGAATGTGTTCAAAGGCGGCAGTGAAACTGAGCAGCAAGTCGGACACGCCAGCGATGAAGTCTCTGTGTTTTGAGCGGAGAGAGGCAGCCAATTGAGGCACGACCCGAGAAATAGTCTTATCAACGACCTGAGCGGAATAGTCGTCATGCTGGCGAAGCAGAGTAGATCCGATGAAGGTGAAGATAGGCATGAGATTGTGAAGAATGAGATCAGGAACCCATGAGGCAAGATTGGAAATGAGAAGTAGCGCGCTGTTTTGAACCTGTGGGCTGCTGGAGTGTCGAATGCAGTCGATGAGTAGGTCCGCTCGTACTGCCGATTGGTAGTCGGCGGTGTCGGCTTGCTCTTTCAATGTGTTTACGATCGGGCTTAGTGATCCCAGAATAATACTCTGAAGATACACTAGCTCGGACCCAGACTGTTGCTTGAGTGGCTGTAGTTCTGCAAAGATGCCGAAAAGGTTCTTGAACAGTGTCGGGTGCTGTCCAGGGTTTGACCCTTCAACCAACTCAAGTACCAACGTGAGCTTTCGGAGTAGTCGCTGAACATCGTCTTGAGATGAAAGCTCGACTCGAGCCATCTCACTCTTGCTTGTCCTTCGCCTTTTCGCTGAAGGCGGTCCTTCGGGCATGGAGGTGGGAGATGGAATGCTTTCCAAGAAGGTGACCAGGATGGCAGAATCAAGGTCAACGTTGCGCAGAATCTCAACGGATCGTTCTCTACGAAGCTTATCGAAAGATTTGTCACTTTCACTGGTTGATAGGCTGAGCATGCACTGAGCCAACGCGTGACGAGCTTCAGATCTGAAGGAAGACCATGAGGTTTGAATGCGATCAAAGGCGGCCATCACTAAAGCTTCACGCTCCGTGTTGAAAGTCCCAGAGATGATGTCCTCGAGCAGTTTCGCGCTCATCGCCTCCCTGGGCATTGTCGCGGAAATGTGAGCCCGCTCCACTTCATCGAGCGAGAGCCCTTCGCTGTCGCAGATGGTGTTGACGGAAGCTGTCGGTAAGGTTGCCCATTCGGTCAACAAGGGGATCACGGAGTTGGTACGAACGGAGTCGGAGACCTTTCCGCGGATGTTTAGCATCGGCAGTAAGCCGAGGCGGACACGCAATACCGGTGTAAATCTCGCGTGGCTGGCGAAAAACGCAAGAATAGAAGTCCTTGTCTGCATCTTGAACGTATTCTTCGGATGATTTTTCAGTTGTGTCCCTTCCAGGACATCGCGAAGAGCGGGAATGGCGAACTTTGAGTCCATGACGCATTCTTCGAGGATCGGCTGTAGCATCGAGGAAACAAACACGAGGACATCTTCAGGCTTGAGTTCTGCGAGATTCTTCGACTCTTTCCCATACAGATCGGACTTGCCCCAAGTTGGTGTTTTCGACTTGGCGGAAGCCTTTCGTACCAGAGACCCAACGCATGCAGCCGCTGAACGTCGGATAATTGGCGATGCATCTGCAAGTGCGTGTACGAGGTATGGCAGGATGTTCTGCAAGACATGTGCAGCCTCAAGCTTTTCGAACGATGATGCGGCTGCACGGAGGGCGGCAACGCGAATGGCGACAGGTCGGGAGCTACTCCAGACGCGAGCGAGAAATGAAAGGTAGAGTGGCTGCTTGAGAGCGGGTTCTTGGTGCAATGCGTCCGAGGCGAGGAATCGCCGTGTTTGCTTAGTCGTCACAGCCTGCTCGAAAACGTTGGCCGCTTCTGAAAACTCGGTCGCTGATCCGGCGTCGAGGAAGCTTTTTACAGTAAGCTCTGGGAGTTGTATGGCAGGCTTCTCGGCTGTGTCATCATCCGCATCAAGCATCTCCTCGTCAGAGTCCTCGCCCGGAATATCTTCAATTTCGAAGGTTTGGACAACGGTAAGTCCCAGAGACTCCAGATTGACATTGTGCTGCTTCGCCGCTTCTTGTAACGTTGCTTGTAGGTCTTTTGATTCAGCCATCTTAGTAGCGACTTGTAGCAGTTCTCCGTGCTCTTCGGAGCCCGGTGGACTGTCGCGGAGGAGTTGGACCAATGCCGATAGCACCATCTGAATGTGCGATGTGCCGAGGAGGCCTGAGGCGATTAGCTCATGGAAAACCCTGCAGTTCTCGTCGGAAGTATCGCTGAGAGCGCCAAGGGCACAGCCTAGAACAAGTCGTTGAACCTGGCATTGTTTTGACACTGTCGTCAACTTCTGCACAAGATGGGGAACCTTGAGTAATCTCCTCGATACTTTGGCTGGAACCTGCGCTTTGGAGCGCTCCATGGCGATGATGGCCAGACAGCCAAGGCACGATTGAAGGGAAGCTTCGTCATATGCTACGATGACAGCCTCCATCAGCCCATCCAGAACCTTGTCTCCGACCTTTGCCTGGCTCACCATCATGATGACAATGGCGTAGCAAGCCAGAACCGTGTCAGCGCCGTGGTTGGCTCGCATGCAAGTATTGAGAACCGGGAGCAGTT